AGGAACAACTGGCTTGGCCAAGCAGGAGCTGTCTGCATGCACACCAGCACATAGCATCCTCACTCAGAAATCAGTCTCATGATCCCTCAGGCATTGTGCTTGTGGCCCCTTCTACAGAGCCCGAATGGGAATGCCAAAATGTCATCCTATCTTGCTTTTCAATGGTCCAAGGATTATGCTACAGCTATTTATTTCTGTCTTCAGTAGGATATTTTTAGGAACTTAAAATGCTGCATCTGATAATCACAGCCTTGTTGATCCATTGTACGTGGCTTCACCCATTCCTTTCCTTAGAGCTGATTATGGATTATATCCAAATATTGTTTTTATTGCCTATTACAGAAACTCCACCTGCATGAGTCGCCAAGACCTTGTCAGAGAAAGGGCTGTACCCACCTGCACTTTTCCTCCTGCCATCTCTCTGCTAGCATTACCGCAAGTTCCTGCGAGGCAGTTTAGATCTGCAGGAATGCTCTGGCTGCCTGCCCTGGCGCTGACCTCCTCTGGGTGGGGTGCAGGCTGCCGGGCGCAGGGCTCTTCACTCTGGAATGTGCTTCCTCATACAGGTGCCAAGGCCTGAACTTGGCAGATCCTAAACACAATGGCTTTTTAGTTACCAGGGCATTTATTATTCCTGATTGAGAGGTGAATAAAAGGCTTTTTAAAAAACTTACAGAGAGCTGAGATGCAGGTGAAGAGGAATAATCATCTAGCTTGACTGAGTAACTTAAGAAATAAAAGAATGTCTTTCTAAAGTAAAATGTCGCATACTACAAATTAATGACACAAACTAACAAAAAGCAATCTCATTTATATCACAATTTGTTTATTATATAAAAATGTTAAATGAGAAGCAAGGAGTTTATGCTGATGATTCCAAAAACTTTAGTTCCAAAATTTTATTTTAGAGAGAATGCCAACAAAATTTAGCCTGTGAAGATTAAGAGCTGCCCTTATTAAAGTTTAAAAAAAAAACTATCTTATTATTTAAACTATAACTCCATTTTTGCAAAATACAGTACAATTTAATAAAACAAACTATGAGTTCTTAAACATTTTAATTTAAAAATTTTTAATTGTCAAAAGGTTTAAATTTAAGTGACTGTGGCATGGTAATTTCCCAAGGCAACACTTTTGTTTCCTTTTGACCAGTATAAAATAATCTTCAAAAGAATGAAGATTATTTCTCCTTTCCTGTTCAGCTACTGATGAATGAGTCCCAGAAATAGAGAGGTTCTGGACCAGGAGTTGCTCTGCAGCCCCAGAAATAGAGAGGTTCTGGACCAGGAGTTGCTCTGGAGCCCGGAGTATGGCAGAAAAAGGGACAGGGCAGGCCTGGTGGCACGTTCTCTCTTGGCAAGCTGGACCACAACCCAAGAGGTTCCCAGGCTCACCACAGACCTTGCCAGGCCTGCTTCATGCAGAACTGCCCCCTTCATCAGGGCCGGTGGCTTGGACAAGAAGCACGTGAACAAGCAGCACAGCAGTGACCGATTCTGCTCTGAGTTAGAAGCCCACCACAACCTTAGGAGTTAACGACAGCTCACACAGGCTTTGCACCAGCCAGGTTCAACTGAGGCTCAAAGCACAGTCTATCTGAATTAGAGGAACAAGAATATGTAACATTTAAAAAAGAAAATAAAAATTATCTCTGCCCTACGACATCCTTCACATGTGCGTGACAGCAACTGTGACACCAGATCCCTGGTATTTGCTGACCGGTCCTTCTCTACCCAGGACAATCACACTGTCAAGCGGAGGGTCAGATCCCCAGGTCCCCAGATCACGTTGCGGTTTGTGGAGTACAGGCTTAAAAAGTCAGGCTAATGTATCAAGAAATCCCAAAACAACAAATGCTGGCGAAGATGCGGAGAGACAGGAACACTCTTACACTGCTGGTGGGACTGCAAATTAGTACAACCTTTGTGGAAAAGAATTTGGAGATACCTCAAACAGCTAAAAATAGAAATACCATTCGATCCAGCAATAGCATTGTTGGGCATCTACCCAAAAGAGCATAAGTCTCTCTATTATAAAGACATCTGCACCCGAATGTTTATGGCAGCACAATCCACTATTCATGGAAACTACCCAAGTGCCCGTCAATTCATGAGTGGATAACTGAAATGTGGTATATGCTCACAATGGAATATTATTCAATCCTAAGAAATGACAGTGAGCTAGCACCATTTATCCCATCCTGGATTAAGCTTAAGCCCATAGTACAAAGCAAGACCACACAAGATCTGGAAAAGGGGCTACACATCTACTCGCCATCAAATTGGTATTGATTGACTAAAACTACGGCGCACAAAAAATGGTAGTGTTCAACAGGGATTTGGGTGGGGGGAGACCCACATCTTAAGGAAGTGGCAAGCATTATAGGGGGGAAGGGATTACCTCTATCCCTTTTTAGGGAGAGATAAAGATATACATTGTAACCAAAATGTCTGAAAAAAAAAATCTGTAATCGGGAAGTGGGCAGGGGATGGACGTGACTGCTCAATACAGATTTGCCTGTGAAAACTACATTTGGAAGGATCTGCACAAGCCAAGAGAAAGACAAAAACACAAAACAAAAAACTTCTGTCCCTAAATTAATCTGCTTCCACTATTTGTGCTTCCAAGGACAGCAAACAAACAAAAAAGTAGTTCTAGAGAAGCAGATATTTGCAAATATTTTCATAAGAGCACAGGAGAAGAAAAGGAGCAACCTGCACATGTATGTACAAAGAACATGTGTGATTCCTGCAAGTCAAGTGGAATGAAATGTTGATGTGAAGCAAGGAAGATGTTTGATATTCTCTGTTGGTCTCAGAATGATTTTATGAGGCATGATGTTTCAGAAATAGCATAGGATTTGAAAGTTTGCTTATTAATTGTAACCACACTGTAGTGGATCCAAATGGGATTTAAGACTGCTCATATAAATGCAAAATATTAACCTAAAGACTAGGCATTAGAGGACTAGAATATTTGTCCTAAGCCATCTACTTTTTATATAATCCTAAGGGAGTTCTCCAGGTTGCCTTGGATCACCTTAGTTCTCCCCTCTTTCTTGCTTATAGTTCTCAAAAATAACTATAGAGTGTTCTGGGCTTACAACACTCCTGAGATAGTGAGCAAACTCCCCAAACAGTCCAGTCCTTGTTCCTGTCCCTTCTAGGATAAACGTAACATCTGGAGTTAGGGAGAACCACCCCGACAGCCTGGCCTTCATTCCTCTCCCCTCCAAAATCAGGGCATCTTTCAAAGCATCAGCACAGTGAGCCCCTGAGGTATATAACACAGGGACAACTGCCTCTTGGGGCCCAAGTGGGTCTTGAGACTCCATCTGCCCCAGGCAGCTTTCTTAAGCCTTGAGGGACCAGCTTCATGGATCTCCCAGGCTTCTACTGTCCTTGCTACCTACCTGTAAGTAATATTGTATACATGCTTACTTCATGTAACTTGTTGCACATGAGTGTGTTCTCTCCCACTGGACTCAAACAAGTTGGAAACTAGTGCACAGTGAACTTAATCCACAGTAACCTTAGCCAAATTGCTCTTTAAATCTAAGTTTCCTCATCAGCCAAATGTGAGTAATGATAATATGTCAAGGTAGCCAACTCCAGCGTTAAATGTTTTATTTTTGCCACTGTAGAACCATAAGAAGGAATTTCATTTCCTCCCAGCCCACTGAGAGGAGGGAACCTAGAGTCTGATTTGACTTTAGAAACAGGTAAGATGACATTCTTACACCCAGGAAAGGTGGAACAAACCCACACACCTTCTTTGCAGGCTTGGCATGAAATCATGATATCACCATTGACACCATGATGTCAATTTTCACACAAGGCTCAGTTATTGATTTTTAGCATTAAAAATTCCATTCACTTTATACAATATGGCTGAACGACCCAGAAGACCTGAGCTCCTGTCCCAGCCTCACCTCTGTGTAACTGCTGGAACCACATCTTCCTCATCTATAAAACGGGAACATACTCTTTTCCTTGACCCACACCCCACAGGGTCACTGAGGGGCTCAAAGAAGATAACAAACGTGAAAGGGCTCTGGAGAGTGTTAGATAAGGGTGATCTATAAGCAAGTCACACACCAAAGCCAGCAATGCCATTTGACAATAAAATTCTGTGAGCTCTGAACCTTGAACATGGATTAAGACTGATTGGGTGGCTTTATTAAATAGTCTGCATTCAAAATAAAAAAATCTGAATAACCCAAATATCCATCAACAGTAGAATGAATAAATTGTCAAGCACTAGAATACTCACTTTAGTACACACTACACCTAATGTTGATGGGAAAAACCAAGACACAAAAGCATACATACCAGGATTCATTGATATAATGTTAAAAATAGGCACAATAAACTACTTTGTTCAAGGAATGCTACATAAGTAGTAAAATTACAGTGAAAAGAAAATAATTAATACAAAGGGAGACAGGGTTTCCTCTGATTGGGGGGATGAGATGGTGAGAAAATGATAAGAAGACCCATGAGAGACTTTTGAGGATGCTTCTCGTGCAAGCATATGGGTGCATATATATATGTATGCCCATACATATATATTCTGCACTTTCTATGTGCACAATATGTTTCATAATAAAAAAACAACAATAACCAGAAAACCCATTGATTTCTGTACAAATTAAGTCAACAGTGTTTTTTATTTAAGACTTTCATTAGTTAAGAGTTTGTTTCAATTTCAATTTCAGATACACCGAACTAAGAAATTACTCACTTGGGACATTATTTAAAATAAAACCCCTTCAAAAAGAAAGTACAGCTATTAAAGCAGGTCACGGTGATTCAAGCAGACTACTACTTGTCTACTTGATAATTACTGACTATTGGAACATTTCCTAGATCAAATTAAAATTTCTAGTATTAACAATAACAAGACTGCACGGCTACAGTCACCACCTGAGCATAACTTATACCCCCATCCTAAAAGAAAAGTGCAAGGTTACCAGATGGCTTGGGGGCACCATGACTCACCAGCTGGCTGTGTTTGTGCTATTCTCTTAGGGTAAGTCTTGCTTCGACTTCTTGCCACATTCTGATCAGGCCGGGGAAGTTGGATAGAAAGATCTCGGCTCATTTGCAAAGCGGTCCTACCACTTAAAAAAGCAACATTATGATTAGCAAAAAGGTAAAAGCACACAGCCACAACATTAAACAGCTCATTCAGAACCTGCTAAGTATGGAGAGACGAAAAACACAGACTCAATTGACCATAAGCACACAAGGGTTTTTAATCAATTCTCACTGCAATATTGACCAAACAAGCAGTATTAAAATCCAGGAGGGGACTTAATTAGATAGACTATCCTTTAGAGGAAGAAACAAGAAGAAAGTTTATTAAAGGAGGAGTTAGCTTTAAGCAGAATGATGAGCTAGAACTAAAAGGTTGCTGATAGTCTTTGAGCTCTACAACTAAATGATAAAGAAATTACGTTGGGCTAAATCATGCAAGGGTAATGATGTCACATGACTGTCTCTGTGTTGTACTTACACGGCAAGCTGGTCCCCACAGGACCACTCAATATGATCTTATTTGGAACCCTGCCATGGCACCATTGACCATGCCCACCTCATCTGTGCCGGATCAAGTGCCCGGGAAGATTGAAGGCAGGCCTAGAACCCCCCACAAAGTGACAAAGTGCCACTTCTCCAAATATTTCATGAAGATTCAAGAGGGCAAGCTTCCCCTGGAGCTGGACTTACCTTCTCAAGTAATTCTCCCAAGGGATCACGTCATTTTATTTGCTAGATTTCACTGAACATTCATCTTACTAAAAATTTACTCCACAATTGCTAAATTTGAGCCAGGGAATGACCCACACTTTCATGCAGGAAACTATCATTTAGATACAGAAAAAAATGCATTTCTATATGTCTAGTATAGACATATAGACACAAGACATAGGCATAGACACAAGTAGAGCCATCTATGGGAAGGAAAACAGCCTTTTCATGGCCCCAAGTGTTATTCATATTTACAGAATATTCGTGACTGTCTCCCAAAGAGAGATTAAATAAGACTTATAAAGTAAAATTCACTGTTTACATACTTCTGTGAAAGCTTCTATTTTCTTGTAACTGAAAGTGACTGACAAGTATAGCGATTTACAGTGTAAGCCACGCATGTGTGGTGGCTCTCTGTAGTGACAGGACAGAGCTTCATTTCCATGATCACCACTTCCCTGCCTCCTCACACTCTGGCACACTCTCCCCCACTTCTCTGCTCAATGTCACTGCCTGCAGCACTTCAGCCTCAAGGTGAGGTAGAGATGGCCAGGTTCAAATCCCAGCATTGCCACTTACTGATTAAAGGTCTTTACGTAACTTTTGGGGGGCTCCAATTTCTCATCTGTATAAAAGGGGATATGATACCTCCTTTGGTGGGTCACTATGTAAATTAAAGAAAGCTGCACACATGAAAGCACCTGACACAAAGGAGGGTCTCATGAGAACATGGTCTCTCTTCCATGCTTCATGAAGTATGAAACTCCATGACAGCTCCTGAGCTGTAAGTCCTACAAGGACATCGGGGTTCCCAGGGGAATTCTCAGGTCTCTCTCTCTCTCTCTCTCTCTCTCTCTCTCTCTCTCTCTCTCTCTCTCTCATTTCTGGAGTGTAAATTCTATACAATTCTTTCATTAATCAAAACCAGGAGTCTCCCACAAACTTAACAACAGGTAGAGACAAGGATCATTTTTAAGGGACTTAGAGAAGAAGATATCAATAAATAACAAAATATTCAAAGATTTAATTTCTATCTCAATTATTGGTCCCCAGCAATAAAATAATAACAACAAAAGAATTACAATGTCAGATTTCAGCTCAGCCTTTCCTCACAAATTTAATTTTGAATCTTGATTGTCCTAGATCACTAAAAAAGTCTAATTTTTTCTGTATGCAATCACTTTTTTCAAAAGATGTAGGAATGTCTTTGGCCTTTTGCAAGCACTAAAATGCAGGAGAGTAGAGACTAGAACTCTGTCCTCCTCCATCACATACATGCACACCCATAAAGACACTCACACACACAGTCATACTCACAAATACACCCAGACACCCACATTCACATGCTGCAGCCACTTGTTCGGCTGTTCTTTATACTCAATGCTCTAAAGACTGCACAGTGAAGGAGGGGGCTGTCTGTGTTTCTATAGCTCTGCTTTCATTCCAGGATATCTCCTGGAATATGATGCTGGTATAATAAATAATATATAATAATAATAATATATAATATTATATAATATAAAGGCTGATTGTTTGCCCTCTTTTGACAACAAGCAGTGTGTGTGTTAATGACCATCCAGCTATCAGAGACTCATTCCTGCCTAAGCTCTGGACAGTGGGATGAATCCTTAGTGCTTCCGACATACAGACAAGTCGATTTAGGATTCATTAAGACTTACTAGGCAGTTAACATCAGCCAAGAAATGAGAATAGATTTAGCAGAGCCTCCAATTATGCAAAGGTTACCTTTAATTACTTTCTTGGAAGAAATGATATTTAATATGCAAAATCCAATAGCTTTCTAATAACAATTCCCAGTAGCCACAATATTTGCATTTCAATAAATTTGAGAAATCAGGTATGGCTAAATTTGTGGAAGCCAACTACAGCATTATGTTAAACAGGATAATTACAATTTTAATAGTATGAACCTTTTCACTAGCACTGTTTTGGTGACAAGGAAATAGAGTTACACATTCTCTCTGTAACCTTGGCAATGTTTTATGCCACAACTAGAACAGCCCAAACACTGGCTATTAGCAGCTGTTCTTCTCAATATAAAAGTAAATAATTTTTCTTAAATTCATCATAATTGTATCATTGTCTATGGAAGAACCTTGGAAATCCAAAGGTAAATATTTAGATATTATTGGATACCTTCATATAAATACCAAGATGGGTACATACAAACACAATGAGTGAGATGTGCAATGTTTGGGGGATGGTCACGCTTGAAGCTCTGACTCGAGGGGGGAGAGTGGGCATGGGTAATATACACAACCTTAACATTTGTACCCCCATAATACGCTGGAAAAAAAAGAAATAGCACACTTAAAGGAAAAAAAAAAAAGAACATCCATAGTGCAATAACATTTTAGTTTTCTTTTCAGTCATCCAATGGGCAAATATCCAAGTGAATAATATGTGAAGATGAACGCACTGAATATTTGACATTCATCTCTCCTTTATTATCTTTGTCTCAAATTCAAGACCCAAACAGTGGGTTATAAAAGAGAAGAATTAAAATCTGGCAGACAGTACTACTATCTTGCAAAAGCTTGCCCTGGCTATATTTTTATCTCCTAAGGAAGCATTTCATTCAGTGACATCTCCAGTGGAATTAACAGACAGTGTTCCTTCCCCTAGGTGGCATTTCTACACCCTGCCTGGACTCCCCCTTCTTGGTGTCCAGTGTCCTATACATCTCTTCATGCCTGTGTATACCCATCATTTAGCTCTCACTTATTAGTGAGAACATACAGTGCTTGTTTCCCATTCCTGAGAAACTTCATTTAGAATCATGGTTTCCAGTTCCATCCAAGTGGCTGGCAAGAGACAGCACTTCCATTTTTAATGCCGGTATTAGAAAAAGACCCGAGCACTGGCGAAGCTGCACGATGATCAGGCTTTTCCACAACAGGCTAACAGTGTGCCTAATGGTTAAAAATGTGAGCTCTGGAGTTAGACCACCAGGATGCAGATCCCACTTCACTGCTTCCTAGCTGGGTTACCTTAGGAAGTGACTTGCCCTCTCTGAGCCATAGTTTCCTCAAATTTTAATAAGCATATTACAGAAAGACTGTGATAATTAAATGAAGCAATAAATGGAAAAAATTTAACACAACACATGACAGTAACTGCTCCATAAAACTGAGATCTAATAGTTCACATTACTATACGCAGTTGTAGAGAAACATGTTGCAGAAAAATATGGTTCCACGCATGATATAAAGTATACATTGTATTAAAATAGGGGATCAAGTGAATGTCCTAAGAACACAGTTACTATTTAGAGCATCTACATTGTTTCATAATCACAGAACCTAATTAGAAATGAGTGATAATTATATCAAAATGAATTTCTGAAGATAATAAGCCCTACTTCATTCTAAAAGCCTCAGACTTAACACAGCTAATGCAGACATTAAATATAAATAAATCCAGAAAATCATTTTTGTTAAGAAAGTTTTAATAAACTGTTATGATTGCAAAAAAACATTGGCACTGCCAGGAAAAAAAAGGGAAAAAATTAAATCATAAACTTCATTGTGTATGTATGTGGACAAATGAATTATTATTTACATTCACACATCCCAAGAAAAAAATGGCAATTACCTGTACCGGTGCTTATAACTTATGGATCCAAACTTGCTGAGTTTCCTTGACAATGAATTTGATTCATTTTCTGGCATTCTAATTAATTTTGGAAAGAAAATAAGATAAAGACTCATAAACACAGATATTTACACATTTGCTCATAAAGCTATATAGCAAAAATAATAGTATAACAGTGTTTAAGAGAGCTAGTCAAAATATTTTATTTCTGCCACTGGATATGATTTCATTTAAGCTAATATTTGAAATATAACCAGACCCCAGAATTTTATATACATATAATATCAAATACTCATACTTGTTGAAGACTATTATATAGTATATAGTATTGTATATCATTGCCCTAAGAAGCTTTAGTGCTCAATCAACTTACTTTCTCTGCATAAATTATCTTGGGAATTTTGTCATTATGTTGATTTACTCCCATCCAGCTTTTCAGGATAATATTATATGAGATGTGCTAACTCACTTTTATTTATACATTATATTCCAGTACTTCCCATTTTAGGGTACTTTCAACAGATCACCACAGGGAGCTACTCAGCCCAGCCCCACAGAGCTGGAGGCAGGCAATGTCTTAGGCTCTCTGGGCCACATCCCTCCCCTAATACCAATTATATTAAGATTACTGGTCATTTTAAAAGAATAATTCTCTAATTTCATGCTATTCAGAGAGATTACTCCATGTAAATCAAATAGAAATAAGGGGAAGAATTCGATTTTGTATGAATTTTAAAAATAATAATAAAGTTTAATGTATTATTTGCTAATATTTTATCTTTACAATGTAAGAACATGAAACAAAGAAAAAAGTGTCCCCACAATGCAGTGGTCAATTTCTCTATTGTGGCCGGGCACAGTGGCTCACGCCTGTAATCCTAGTGCTCTGGAGGCCAAGCTGGGCAGATTGTTAGAGGTCAGGAGTTCGAAACCAGCCTGAGCAAGAGTGAGACCCCGTCTCTACTATAAACAGAAAGAAATTAATTGGCCAACTAATATATATAGAAAAAATTAGCCGGGCATGGTGGCGCATGCCTGTAGTCTCAGCTACTCGGGAGGCTGAGACAGGAGGATCACTTGAGCCCAGGAGTTTGAGGTTGCTGTGAGCTAGGCTGACGCCACGGCACTCACTCTGGCCTGGGCAACAAAGCGAGACTGTCTCAAAAAAAAAAAAAAAAAAAAGAATTCTCTATCATCATCTTACTTAACCTCCCAAGAGCACTGCATGTAGTTGCTGGTGGCGTGTTCATCACGACATGCTCCTCCCTCCATTCCCAGAACACAACCCACTCTCCCTCCTGGTTGCTGCTTCTCATACTCCTCAGCTGGCTGTTCCTGTCCCCTAATGTGGGGAAGCCCCCACAGCTCAGTCCTTGGCTTTCTGCTTCTCTCTTCACTTTTTCCATAGGTGACCTCATCTGGCCCCTTCTGTCGTATCTACTAAAGTTATGTCATCAACGTTGGTCTTTCCAGTCAGCCTTGTACACCCAACTGCCTTACCTTATCTTCACTTAGAAGGCTGATAGGCATTTCAAATGTAGTATGTCCACAGCAGAATAATTTCTTCCAGTACCACATGGGTGCTAGCCAAAGCTGCACTTTTTTCATAAACAAAAAAAAAAATTACCCCTGATCTTTTCATACAGTATGAACAAAGAAGATTTATCTGTATGTATGTGTTTATGTAGATACAAATGTGTGTATAGAATTCCCCATGGTGCTGTCTGTTGAGAGTACCCTAAAATGGGAAGTACTGGAGTATAATATATAAACAAAAGTGAATTATCACATCTGATATGATTAACTGTCATGAAAACCTGAACAGGAGTCAATCAACATAGTGACAAAATTCCCAAGATAATTTCCCACGTGTGTGTGTATATATGTTTGTATTAATACAATCCAGAGAATTAAAAGCCAAAAAAAAGCTAATAAAAGGGAAACACTTCTAAATTTCTGTTTGTAGAAAGAACAGAATTGTTATAAAAACAAATGCCATTTTCATTTATTAGGACAATGAACAAAACTTTCACATTAACGTACCTAAAAAACGTATGATGTTCTACACTGCACTTCCAGAGATGCTTGCAAGCAGTTTTACTTCGAGCTTCAAAAAAGAATGAGGTTTCATTGCACTGAGAAAGACAGAAAGGGAGGGAGGGAGAGAGAGGATATGAATTACTGACCATCCATTTTTCAGATGACCAACCTCCACGTAAGGCAACGAAAATTAAAAGCAGCAGAGAAATTATTGTTAACACAGTAAACAAAGAATAGGTAACAATTTTTGGGAGGTTGCATTAAAATCACCTTCCATTAATTAAAATTGCAAAATAGAAATTCCATTTAAGTCTTAGGACAATCACCCTTATTACCTATATCCACATTGCCATGACCATGGATAATTTGGGCAATGGCATTGAAGTACTGAAAAATCTCCCCTCACAAATAACCACTGATATCTGAAAAACACTGGCCATGTGGAATCCAACTCCCAATAAAAAGCAGGTGCTCACAGATCCATTTCTTAACTGATTACCGTCACGCTCACACCGATGTCTAAAGAATTTCAGGAGGAGCCACTGAAAGGAGCAACTGCCACAACAGTGTATCTGGGCAAATTAGATAACATCTCTGATTCTTAGTTTCTCTACATCAAATTATTGGGTAAATTAAATGATATGATACCTGGAAGATGTCGCGTAAGTATACAATGAATTTTAATTACTTTAATCTAGTAGGTACTTGATTCTCTGCATTTAATACATAAGAAACAAATGAGTGAGATGTGCACCATCTAGGGGATGGTCATGATGGAGACTCAGACTTTTGGGGGGCGGGGGGGAAGGGGCATTTATTGAAACCTTAAAATCTGTACCCCCATAATATGCCGAAATAAAAAAAAAAAAAAAAAAGAAACTAAGCAATAATAAAGGTATAATCAGCCCTCTGTATTCTTAGGGTTCCACATCTGCAGATTCAAATACGGATTGTTATTCTCAAATTGAAAATACTGAGAACAAAAAAAAACCCACAAATTTTAAAAATACAGTACAACAACCATTCATAGAGCATTTACATTATATTAGGTATTATAAGTCACCTAGAGATAATTTTAAACTATACAGGAAGATGCACATAGGTTATCTGAAAATACTACACCATTTTATAAAAGAGACTTAAGCATCCTTGGATTTTGATATCCGCAGGTGTTGGGGGGTGGCGGGCGTGGGTGCTGGAACCAATTCCTCATGGATGCTGAGATACAGGCATAGCTCAGAAATACGACAGGCTCAGTTCTGAGACACCACAGTAAAGCAAATATCACAATAAAGTGAGTCATACGTTTTCTGGCATCCCAGTGCATAAAATAGTTGTGTGTAGACTATACAGTAGTCCATTAGGTGTGTAATAGCATACGATCTAAAAACCTATATACATACCTTAATTAAAAATACTTTATTGCTAAAATAAAATGGTAATGGTCATCTGAGCCTTCAGCAAGTTATCTTTTTTGTTGAGGGCGGATCTTGTCCAGATGTTGATGGCAGCTGACTGATCAAGGTGGTGGCTGCTGAAGGCTGGAGTGGTTGTGGCAATTAAATAAGGTAACAATGAAGTTTGCCACATCAACTGACTCTTTCAGGAAAGATTTCTCTGTAGCATGCAATGCTGTTTGATATCATTCTACCTACAGTAGAACTTCTTTCAAAATTGGAATCAATCCTCTCAGCCTGCTGCTGCTTTATCAACTAAGTTTTATGTACTATTCTCAATCTTTTGTTGTCATTTCAACAATGTTCACAGCATCTTCACCCGGAATAGATTTCCTCCCAAGAAAAACACTTCCTTTGCTAAGAAGCAACTGCTCATTTGTTCAAGTTTTATCATGAGATTGCAACAATTCAGTCACATCTTCAGGCTTCACTTCTAATTCTAGTTGTCTCGCTATTTCCAACACATCTGCTATTACTTCCTCCACAAAAGTCTTGAACCTTTCAGTTATCCATGAGAGCCACAATCAATGTCTCACAAACTCCTATTAATGTTGATATTTTGAACTCCTCCCATGAATCACAAGGGTTCTTAATGGCATCCAGAATGATGAATCCTTTCCAGGTTTTCAATTACCTTTGCTCAGATCCATCAGAGGAATCAGTATCTATGGGTAGCTATAGCCTTAAGTAATGTATTTCTTAAATAATAAGACTTCAAAATCAAAATTGCTCCTTGATCCATGGGCTACAGAATTAACATTGTGTTCGCAAGCATGAAAACATTACTCTCCTTGTATATCTCCATCACAGTGCTTGGGTGATGAGGTACGTTGTCAATGAGCAGTAACATTTTGAAAAGAATCTTTACTGAGCAGATCTCAACAGTGGGCTTAAGATATTCAGTAAACCAAGCTATACAGATGTGCTATCATCTAGGCTTTGTTGTTCCACTTACAAAGCACAGGCAGAGTAATTAGCATAATTCTTAAAGGTCCTAGGATTTTTAAAATTGTCAATGAGCAATGGTAAAGTCACCAGCTGCATTAGCCCCTAACAAGATAGTCTATCCTGGCATTTTCTTCCAATAGAAGGCTGTTTTGTCTCCATTGAAAATCTGCTGTTTGGTGCAGCCACCTTCATTCAATGATCTTAGCTAGATCTTCTGGATAACTTATTGTTTCACCTTGCATTTTCACATTATGGAGATGTTTTCTTTCCTTAAGCCTCATGAATCCACCTCTGCTACCTTTCTGCAGCTTCCTCACATCTCTCAGCCTTCATAGAATTGAAGAGATTTAGGGCCTTGTTCTGGATTAGGCTCTAGCTTAAGGAAATGTTGTGGCTGGTTTGATACTCTTTCCTGACCATCAAAACTTTCCCAATATCAGCAATAAGGCTGTTTTGCTTTCTTATCATCACTGTGTTCGCTGGAGTAACACTGTGAATTTCCTTCAAGAATTTTTCTTTTGCATTTACAACTTGGCCAACTGGTGGAAGATTCTTAGCTTTCAGCCTATCTTGGCTTTTGACATGTCTTTAGCTTAATCACTTCTAGCTTTTGATTTGAAATAAGAGATGTGCAAGTCTTTTCACTTCTATGCTCAGAGGCCACTGTAGAGTTATTAATTGGCCTTATCTCAATATTGTTGTGTCTCAGGGAGCAGGGAGGCCCAAGGATAGGGACAGAGATGGGAGAATGGCAGGTCAGTGGAGCAGTCAGAACATATAACATTTACCGTTTAAGTTTGCTGTTTTACATGACATGGTTTGTGGTTCCACAAAATAATTACAATATTAATATCGAGGATCACTGATGACAGATCACCAAAACAGATACAATAATGAAAAAGTCTGAAATACTGTGAGAATTACCAAAATATAACCCAGAGACGTGAAGCAAGCACATACTGTTGGAAAAATGGAGCTAACTGGCTAGTCGACACAGGGTTGCCACAAACCTTCCATTTGTAAAACATGCAGTATCCATAAAGTACAATAAAAAGAGGTATGCCTGTAATTCTAATTTAAAAAAAGGTACTATTTTAACTGATTGAATAGAAAACTAAGCAAAATATGAGTTCTAAAATAATTTATCACAAATTCTGTGAAGGTATACAATTGCTAATTTAGTTTCAAATCTAACAAACGAACTCAAGTCTCAAATGCAGAAATGCCTCTGAAATGAGGTTTCTATGGACACATAAATACAGAATTGTCAGTGCAGAGGAATAATTGAAATTATTTGTCTTCTACTTTTAACTAGGACAGCACATTTATATGCATGAAATATCTCCCAGTCCAACTGGAATGATACTGCCCAACTTAGTAGTTTCTTTGTAAAATGAAAGGATGTGATGGAAACAAAGCCAACATGTGCATGTTACGGCAAGGATAGCTGTAATTCCAAAACCTTGTTAGGTAGAGGAAGAAAATTCAGATGATTCCCAGGTTTCTGGCATGGCTGCTGCTAACTACTAAAATATAGCGAGTCAAAGTGGGGATTTAGATGGCAAAGGAATAGCCATTAAGTCCAGGTTAAGATATTTTGATTTTGAGGTGCTCATGGAATGGCAAGTGGGCTAGTAAGCATGCAGGCTCAGAACTCCAGAGAGAGGTCACATCTAATGACACAGATGATCTCATCCAAGAGCAAATGAATTGCTCAGGGGGCGCATGCAGAATGGATAAAGGTCGAATCGCAGGAAAGATGCCCATGAAGGTGTAGGGAGGGAGCTTAAATTAAACCAGGAGATGGTGTCAGAGAGGCTGGGAAGAAAGATTCGAAGTCTCAAGTGACCCAGAAAGGTCAAAGAGGGTTTAAAAAGAGGTTACCACATTTCACAGTTTGAAATCTTTGGTGACTTTCTGTGAAAGGGGTAGGGATTACAAAATTAAAGATGAGGAAGAAAAGTCAATGAATTCAGAATTATTCTCCTCAATAGCAAAAGAAACAGGGGGTGGAGGGTAGGCGGTGGGGGAAGGTTGGGGGGAGGGCACAGGAAATCCCAGAAGCTCCTGGGGCAGGTGGGAGAGCCGAGGTTCTTGTCAGGAGACAGGAGTGCTCAGAGGGGAATTTCTTTTTTAACTTTTGTTTTAAATGTACAGTCATGTGCTGCATAGAGACATTGGTCAACAATGGAACACAAGTATAACAGGGGTCCCAAAGATTATAAAGCCATGCACCTTTTCTATGTTTAGATATGTTTGATACACAAATACTTAGCAGTGTTTTACAATGGCCTACAGTATTCAGAATGGCAACATGCTGCACACGTTTGTAGCATAGGAGCAACAGGCTATGCCATAGAGCCTAGGTGTGTAGCAGGCTGTATCACCTAGGTTTGTGTTAGTACGAGTTGTTATGTGCACACAACAACCAAATCGCCTAATGACACATTTCTCAGAACATATCCTGGTTGGTAAGCTATGCATGACTATAACACACACACACACACACACACACACACACACGTGGTACAAAAGCCAGAAGTTACTAAAGTGGGAACAAAATGATAACTCCATCTCCTTCCCACCACTGTCCCCATTTTCCTTTCCCAGAAGCAACCTCAATTATAAGGGGTGGATGCTTTTAAGGGTGCTGGATTATCCTAAAATATAATATGCAGGTGATTCATTTA